CCGTGTCAAGCGGGCTTTGACAACTTAATCTATACGTGTTCCACCCGGTTATCGGAGGATGTGGAACCCAAATTTCTGTCTTTTTTTTCTTAATTATAAAATACTTGCACATGGTCTGCGCACACCGCTTTGTGGCAAAGCCAGACCTTGTTCAATTGATAACACAAGACATCGACTCGACACACAAACGGTCCACACAGGTAGAGAGAAATTTCACAGCATCGTCCCCATTTTCTGAGGGCAAGCTAGGCTTCAAGACGAGACACGCAGAGATTTCCAAGCTCTCTCGGACAATGACCACATTATGCTGCATATAGATTGCAGTTTAGCAGAGCTGTGCAGAAAGAGTAACACCAGCTTCAAATTTTGGAACCAAAATGGCTCTTCAATATGTGTGCATTACAGTACATAGCTGTTGTATGCTAACACATAATCCACCATTTTGGTTCCAACTATTCAGACTCTCATGTCGCAACTCTCTCTATGAACAGTTCTGCCATTTAGTGTAGAAGTGCACCCTCTCTTTACTGAATTATTCCCATTTCATGAGTTTCTCCCTCTTTTCATTAGAACCTACTGATTATAAAAAGCGTAGAATATGGTTAAATGTGTAACTCAGTAAACAGTAACAACGATAATTATTATGAAGTACATTTGGGCGGTAAAACAGTCGGTGAGAATTATTTTTTTCCTAATGAAATCAACCTCTATGTAACAAACTTGCGGGCGTGCACACGTGGATCTGGACTCGCAGCTGTCATCACTTGTGTATCCACGATCGCCCCAACAAGCAGTCGTTAACAAACTAGGAAAAAAAGAAGGCTCAGATGAGACATGGCGGCAAATGTATTACCTGTGTTGAGCGGGAAAACCAATCGTGCGCCGTCGCTCGTGAATCAAAGAAAGTATATCCCGCACGCCCGGTCTGCACCGACTATTGATTTCATGTGTACCGCCTCGCTTGAAAGTCTCGTCGACAAAATCATGATAAAGTATAACTCCACAAAGGATAATAGGAACTGGCAGAGTATCGCCGTGGCCCCGAGAGTAATCACGCTTGCCACCTCAAATGGGACTGTCACTCGCCACCCGGACGGCTTGTCTTTTCATTTTCTTTGCGCAGCGCCATTTTCGCACCTTAAAAAACTTCACGCCGCCAACGGTAAATTACAAGATGGCGAACGGGGGTCTCGATTCCCTCGGCCACAAAAACAATGTGACCGTACCCATCATGCACCGTGCTGCAAATCCCACCGGGTCACATGATTTATCATGGATTTTTTTCTCCTTCTTGAAAATTTGTTCGTCTTTCTTCATGTCCAGCAACTGCAGAAGCAGTACAGTAGACTGAGATTTTTTGTGAAAGACAGTCGGTAATGCACCGTAAAAGGTTATAGCTCGGCGTACTTAGCTCGAGTAACCGGGCAGTCCGCGTGCCGCGGTCCCGTTACCCTCGCCGATCGTGTGACAGACACCTGGCAGGGGCTACCCCCCAAACCTTGCGGGACTGCCACGGGGGGCCGTGTGAGGGCAACTCTAGACGACCTCCGTGTCTTTGCCGGTTCGCTCCGACCCCGAGGATCGAGGTGTCAATAAAAACTAAATGCCAGATTAAAAAACGAGCCGAGTGTCTCTGCATGCATTACTTGCCCGTGACTACTTCTTTGTTGTTAAGCCCTTGGTAAAAATGCACTTGAAAGCGGCCAAAATAGTGTCAGTATGCGAATGCACGTTAAACACGCACCGGGACAACACAGACAAGGAAGCTGCAGTTCGATTTGATGGCAACACTCGTATGATAACAACCACAAAAGATTGATATTATGTACTCTTAACAGAATATACCAATCTTCGAACGACTCCCTAGAGATCTTTTTTTTTTTCAATTTTTACGACCGACAATGCTCACGCTTGTTTTCACGTACGACGTGGGCAGTTTACCTACAAGTATAACGGATGTCGTTTTGTTATCAAACAAGTGGACAGTTTGCACGTGCCAATAAAATACAGGGTCCAAAATTAATTGATAACGTCAAAAGAAAACATGGCCCACGATTTAACATGAACCTCAAGCCAACAACATAATAGTAGCTTAGCGCTTCCACAATATTGTAGTAAAAAAGAAAGTATACGTTGAGCTCAAAATGCTAGCCATCTGATATACGCAATATAACGTTCCACATATGCAAATATCGGGCGGTTCCTCAGAAATCAGGAATTTCAAGACTGAACTGGTGCCACTGTAATTTCTGCCTGCATTGATTTCCATTCACCCATTAAAAACAGTTCGGGACCCAAAAAAGATTGGATACTTGACTTTTGTTGACTATGAAGTCGAGCAAGTACGTGACGCTTATTATTGGCAGTTGAGCAAGCATATTCAAGCTTGCTCACACCTGTTCAACTGTTTTGAACACAGACTTAACACCGACCATGATTGTTCTCATAATGTTGACTATGTTCTCGAAAACAGCCTTGGTGTATCTTATCAGTCTTTTTCTTTACCCCTAACGAACTGCCCTGGTATCAATCTTGTCCGCAAGGGGAATGTTTGCCGAGTTCACCGTGGCCCATTGGTGGCTTGGCTTCCCCGTTGCCAACAATTCCGGTGGCCTGTGGTGGTGGTATCAATATGGGACCCATCACGGGTGACATGTACTTCTGGATAAACACCCTATCCAGTCGAGTAATGCGATTGTAACACAACAACGCCCTGTATTCCAACCCCGGCGATACACCTTTCGATAATATTTGCATTATGATAAAAGCCGGGCCCCGAGTGACTGACAGTGCCGCGTTGGGACTGCAGTCTCTGGGCACCCCCCTCCCCATGCAGCCACCCATGTCTTGTCCCCCATGTCTGGTCCTCGCTGCGCAGTCTGCTGCCATCGTTGTCACTGAGTATCATTCTCTCACCCTGTGCTTTTTGGTCATGTCCCCCGACTCAACTGTGCACCCTCCTACAATACAATGAATGCACGATGATGACGAATGGTCACTGAGTGCAGAACAAGAGTGGACTTAGTACAGAGCAGCTAGACCCGTTGCAAATACTCTGCGCAGATCTCCATCGCTGCATTTTTTAACAAAAGCTTATTCTCTGTATCGTGCCTGCCTCCACCCGTAAAATCTCCGGTTAAAGATTAACGTCCTGAAATTGACATTTTCTAAAGCAAACCCAAGTATGCCTTTTGCGCTATGTCTACCTTCAACCTCGACAGACTTGCTTTTTATGCTTATAGCCAGACTGAGTCTTTCTTCCAGAGAAGAAAAATCCTCACCCCAACCCACCTCAGGCGGTCTTTCGTGACGCTTTAAAAAAATATCACTGACAATGTAACAAAGAGGCCTCGATTGGTGTCTTTACACCCCGAGACGCAAATGTGACTCTTTTTTTTTCAACTCGTCAGAGTCTCATAATAAGCATTCGCTCTCACCTCGCAAAAAAGGAGTCCGCATGTGACGTGAACTGGTTCGAACCGGGCACATTTGTGTAGGGACATTGCAAGAGGACAACTTCCTAGCGATCCAAGATGACAATGCGGGTCATCAATCCTGATGTTCACACATCCGCAATTGCACAGCCGAGAAGTGGAGAGAAACTCCGGGCCTCCCTGACAGAGAGAAATTGAAAGGAAAAGGGGGAGGGAGAGGCAAGAAAGGAAAAAGTCTCCCTGGCAAAAGCCATTTCGGTGCTCGCACGCACTTGATCAGCGGACAGGACAGCGCTGCCGCGCCGCTCGCTGACAATGCGCATCACAATGCCTAGAGGGAGGCCGAAAAATACCTGATGCGAAATATTCACTTACGCGGGAAAGATCGAAGGCAGGTGAGCCCGATCTGCTGAAATTAATACACATATCGTGCAGACAAGCGCAAAATAGGTGAAATGCTTTCTCTTCTCCGTCTCTCTTTCTTTCTGTCTTTCTCTTTCCTTTTTTTTTTCTGCGTACACGGCAAGCTGGCCTAGTAATCAGACGTCCTATTGATCGAGCAGAATGGCCCGCGATGCTGGGTTAGCGATGGAGGTCTCCCTTCTCGTCCCGGCTCGTCGTGAGCACACCTCCGTTATCACTGCCAAGCAGATAATAATCACACCGCGTGTTTTCTCTCTCTCTTTCCCGCGTTTCCAACTGATTGATAGATTGCTCACAATTAATATATTACGAATACAGAGTGTGCGAGTGATATAGTTCAGAGGACTGAATAATATGTATGTACAGTTCCACAGCTGCCAAGTGTGTTATGACGATGATGGCGGGGTTGTCTGGGGTTGTCTGGGGTCGTCATGCAGTATACGGTATTGATTCTTCGGATGCCGATGACCACAATTCAATATAGCGATTTCACATAATGTCTTAAACGGTCACGAAGAGTGAAAACAATGACGTGAGCAGCTGTGCATGAGCATGGGCCATTCTGTCCACTTCAACAAGAAAGGTCTACGCAAGGACATGACGAAACTACTAGATAAAAACACTATAAGACACGCAGTGGTCTGTTAACCTAGCGTAAATCACCCATGCACTTGTATTTTGTACACGTATTGAATCTCACTGTCAACTACCTATGATCTGATTCTAAGAGCCCTAATTGCTGCTTTGTAGGGGCTATAAAAAGAAGTTGGATGAAACAAGGCCAGCATCAGGAAATAATATTTAGTCAATTTAGTCTCAACAGGTCTATTTCAGGGATATGTAATTTTCAGGTAATTACTGTTGATAAACTCGATCTCAACATTAGTCCAAACGGATTTAAACAACCGTTATAGTGTGGAAGGTTTGAAGTGACACCGTGCAAGTCAATCTCTTATTTAATTGTGTGGCTCTGAGAAGAACCGGTTGTTTATCAAACGTGGTCCAATTATAATTTTCATTAATAGAACATATTTTTTGTAATCACGATAAGACTAAACAATTATACCAAAGACGGTTCGAGTACCCATACAGATTGAGTTGCATAAGTCAAAATAAATGCAAACAAATGCACTTAATAATCACTATCTTTTACATCGTAATTTCATCACCTTTATTATCTTTTCTTTCCCACAAATGTATATACATTTCCGTCGCAACATTAACAACAGTAGATTATTACAAAAACAAAATTTGTACACAATTTCCCTGCCAAAAGCTTTGCTTTTTTTCTACGTGAAACACAAGTTGAACAAAGGCTTATTTTTTTAATTCGTTTATGAAACAAAACACGGAGCGCTTTGAAACACTCAAACGTTCAACAAAACACAACTCTTTTCACCCTTCATCACAATAAAAAATGATACATTAGACTAAGTACAGGGCAGTAGTCAGGCAGTGATAAGAATTCTGCATGTTTATCTCTACATGAAAGGCTTACGTTGTAATCGCGTGATTTTCGGACTGGCCAATCACAGGCAACGTATTACCGAGTATCAAACTATATACCCAATTGGATATGTCCTCTTACTGACATTTCCTACAGCGTGTTACGTATTCACTTCACGAATTAATTTCATCTGAAGCAGAGTGAACACGTGAATGAGAACCAGATTTTGTCTTCTTTTTTGTTACATTTAGAGTTGTAAACAATTCACAATGTGCTATAACTAATCCAATGCCCCAATACAACTAACCGTTGAAGACATCACATGAAACTCAGACCGGTATGCGGGAAAAATCGATTCTTCGATCAAACTTCAAAACCAAATAGATAATAATTATGTTCGATCACAATCACTTCAGTTGCCAGCAACAAGAGTTGTTCAAAAAGATTGCCGGGATCATTACATCATTACGATGCGATATTATGAGGCAGTTATGTTTTTCTCCGACATTTCTCCTTGTTGACATTGACAACAAGGAGTAAACAATATTGATAGGGGGGTGGACGCAACATCAGCTACCAAGCGTCATGACACGCATTTTCTGACCTGTCGTCCCTCATATGTGGGTTATGACATCATCATGGCAACGGTGTCCTGGCAACGGCATCCAGTACTTGGCTTTCCACAGCTCGATTATTTTTAAGTGATTAATACACTATCAACCGTTTACAGGTCACAAACTTCATCACGCACAAAGATTACCCACTGGCAAGGTTATGCTCGTTTTGAACATAATTATAATGCGAGATGCGTTCGTAAGACGCAAAAAAGAGATCACCGCCAAAGTTGGTTGTTCCTTCTTGAGATTTTTTTCGGCCAATGCATAACCTGGGAACCCTGTGTGACTCGCACAAACGTGTCTCAGCTGGCTAACGTTCAGACAGTCCAAATGCAGCATTGCCATTTCTCGCCTAAATTTGTTAACGAAAAGCGGGATACAAGTACCAATCTTTACCGTGCTCAGGCCTGCTACGGTACTTCGCCCAGTTTGTCATGGACGTCATGCGAAAAAGGTGAAAAAACGGCGCACTGATAATTGTGTTCAGACACCCTGAACTGACCAGGCAAAACCGGCCCTAATGCCGAAAGATAGTACCGATAGCACGGATAATTATAAACTTGTTCAAGACCAAAATATCACTGTGTATGGGGGATAAATCCTTAGGATTTGAGCTCTCGCTACACCAACAGCTAAACCTGTGAGTGAATCTTTATTTCAGAATGAGTGAATGGGAACTCGTTCTCAAGTAAATGACAAATGTCTCACACACAAGCAACAGCGTCGTTAAATTTACCTAGTCATGGTTTCCCGCAGACCACTTGAGATTTAACGACGTTAAACTTGACAGAGCGCTTACTCTTCAATTACAGGTGTTTTGACTACAGAAAGGAAGTTCCACATCCCTGGCTAGTTTTAAGAAGTTACGCTGAAAGACACCCACTAAACATGAATTTGAAACCGAAGGCTGAATTTTTGGGCCGTTTGTATCAAACCGAAAGAACTCTAGAATGTGCATAATGGCTGACGAAATATCGTATGAATACAATATGATATCTTTCATCAAACTGAAGTTTCTTTCCCTGCTTGGTTCGGGAATTTGCCTACAACATATCCCATGTCAATCACAATGTGAACAAGTATCTTTCACGCGGAACATGACGTGCCTTCTCTTTTACTATCCACTTTTATTAGTTTTTTTTTTTTTTCATGTAGCGCTGCCCCAGGAGATGTTATTGAAAAGCCTCGGGTTGGACAGCTTGTATAAAAAAACCGTACCAGCTTAGACCCCATATATTTTTCAGTGTGATTTTTTTAAAGTTCCATCAGAGGGTTTGCATTCGAATTGCGTACGCGGCAGAAAATGCAAGTTTTTTTTTAAATGCAAGTAAAAAAAAAGCAACCTGTAATGCGACATCAAACTGATGACGCCTACAATACGGTGAAGCTGATTTGCTTTTAGTGTGACCTCAAAATTCTGTGTCCAGGATTTAAATTCACAAAAGAAATTACGATTACCATCATTCCAAACGGCTGGTTTCACCTGTTTGTTTGTGTCATTAAAAACTGATGCACTATATACATATATTACTAATATAATAACCTCGGCTATTGACTTCACTTTATATATATATTTAAAAAACAAAGAACAAAGAAACGACAAATGTTAATACCCTCTTATGAAAACATACTCTCTTGATGACATTTCTTATTAAATCATTAAATAAATAACTATTTCGGTGAGGAGTCTCCGAACTACGACCGAATTTCTTGGAGAATCACAAGACAGGAAGGAGTTCCGTGTTTATAAATAGAACGGTCTCGCACCACTATTCTGTTGTGTTTCCTTGTTTAGACTGGCGCTTGTGCACGAGCCGATTCTGAGATCCTAAGTTTTCGTTTGCTCTGAAGAAACCGACCAAACTTTCACACCCTGTTTCTTCACTGGGTATGCCGACGGGTCCTCCGATGAAAGCCGTTGAGCCTTTCCACCGTCTTCCCATCAACACGCAATGGTACGGCTCCGGTCTTCCTGCAAGCCGCAACATTCGAAGATGCCGACCATCAAGATTCTGTATACCCGACCGAATAAAGCACTGCTGACACCGTCAGAGTCCACATTCCACGCACTGTTAGTCACGAGGAACCCAAGACGAGGCAGAAAACTCAAGAGACACGGCACGAAAAATAACCAGCCATACGCTCTTTAATAAACACAGTCCTCAGTCAGTAAAGACGGCGCCTGATGTGACGTAGCCTGAACACAACCAATCACCAGAGTAGGTCACCGAGCCTAGAGTCTGCGCAGATTGGTACATGACTGCTTGAGTGAGTGAGCGAGCTGTGGAATGATCAAAGAAAATCATATCTAAGTACAAACACTGCTTTTAAGTACATTTATAACGAGAACAAATGATGGATAAGACGAGGCGCAATCACTCGTTTTGCCAACTTTTTAATCAGTTCTAATTTAAGAACTGAATTACTTGCATAGTAAAATGAGCCTCGCTGATTCACACAACATTACATATCATCACATAATGCAAGAGCATTTATTTCAAATACAAACACATCGTGAAAACTTGCTCAAGGCTCTCTTGTTCAGCCCTTTTTTAACAAAAACGTTCTACGCCCACACTACCGGCAAAGAGGCCGTCAGACGATACCCAAGGTATTGTCCGATTAAGCGAAATGGGACTTGTAAGTGGCAACAATTTAGCGCGAAGATCGGTTTATTTCCCTTGACACGACAAAAGGGAAAAAATCTTGATAAAAAACTGAGGAGGCCACGAGTGGAAACGGAAGGGAAGCCTACACCAACTCCCCTAAACTGAGTCCAGAAATAACAACACTAAGTCGAGCAATAGTGGACATGAGACGCATGGGAAAGGAATGGACCACGGCTCACTGGAGATCTGCTATGGGGGTGTCTCGCTAAGCTGAGACGACAGTTGTGAGGGGGAAAATGACCCTACTCAAAAGGTGTAATCGTCCACCTTTTTCTCTTCCCTTAACTCCAGGTTGAAATAGACAATACATCTTATAAAAAAAAAAAGACGGACAGGAAATAATACAGAACTGGTTTCACGACTTATTTTTCCTGGACAAAATACAGGGTATCGAGAGGAGTGCGCTTATGACAGTGGAAAACGACCGCAACGACGGCGTTTGAAGAAAAACAGTTTGACACAATTTTTACACAATGTTGTTTTGCAGATTGTAACAAAGCTAAACCTGGACCACAGGGGTTTCAAACACTGCCTTTTCAAAATGGGTTGGCGGCTTAAAGGGTGAAAGAAGCTAGATCTTTCGGTTTAGTTTTTGTCGTGGAAGGGAAACTAAATGGGCTAGATTGGCACCGTTTTGTTTTGTTTCGGCGGTTTCAGTTTTGCCCCATCCCCTTCGCACGGAGCACAAGGGCGCATTGTGGCAGGTGAGAGAGAGGTGTCAGGCTCGGTCCAGGGGTCAGGTGGGACCCGGCGTACGGGATTAAGAAGGCTGGGGTAGGGGGGATCTCCAACCTTCAATTCATCCTTACCTCCTATCGCCGGGGTACTGGCTTGAAGGCCGTCCTGGGCATCGGCTCGTCGACCTCTCTGCTCTCACTACTCTCTCGCCTGGAGTCAACGGCTGCGAGGCGGGACAAAAAAAAGAGAGACTGACACATTACAGAAAATACCAGTAGACCGGGTTGTCGTTAATATTTGTCACAGACCCCAGGGAAAGCAAAACAGACGTTAGTGCGCGACCGAATCATATCGAGGGCTTAAGAATCGTCATATTCACCGTTCAAAAGAAATACTCTTTCTGTTTTGTCGGCTCAAGTATTCCCCCCCCCAAAAAAGCCACCTTAACATAACAGTGCTTGAGTATTACCGATGCTACCGAGTTTCTAAGCCTTGTGAACCACATTTCGGTTTTTGTCAGCTTCATGTTTCGAAAAAAATGCTACCTGGGTGAAAGGTCAAATTCCTTAGTGCATTACAAGTTTGCACTTATTCGAACGATAGAATTTGTGTTCAGACCCACTGACAATGTAATTGAAATCAGATTTCCCATAAATTCTCCTGATTGACTAGCATTAGGCAGCCGTCTACTTGGTACGGGTTTCAATTTACAATGAAAACAGAATTCACTTTTTTCACGGCAACTGTGCTCATTATAGATACCTCATCTGAATGTGTTCGCCCTACACTTATTGCCGGTTCCGAGTATCAAATTTCAAATTGATGAAGAAAAAGATTGCGTGACTGACCTAAACGTGCTGCTTACCGCGCGATCTCAATGTCTGGAACTTCTGTTACAAAAGTCGTTACAGAAGAAATTCCAGCGTGGTTATAAAAGCCAAAATGATCTATAGCCAGCATTACTTCCGTACCCTTTTTATTCCAATTCCACGTTTAGTTGTGTAGAGTTTGCATTCGTCTCTGACAGCCACTCTCTCCCAACGTTGAATCGAATTGACAAAGCGGCCTGGTCGTGTGAAAAATGGGAACTATAATCATTGTGCTTATTTGCGGTCATCTGTATCGCGGCCATATCATTTCAAACGTATCATGTTCGAGTTGGTTATCGGGCCATCAAAAACCGTTCATGGTTTGTGGCATTGATAAATAGACAGCTGCGACGAAACAGCTTGAAAATACTGGGCAAACCGCAGCGCACAACGAGTTTATAATCTGGGCAATATGCTTTACCTGACAAGGTGAGAGTGGTAAGTTTAATAGTCAATCAATTATCTTGTAATTCTCTTTTCTTTGAAACTCATTTCGTCATCAGAAACATCTACTCAATATAATTTTAACCAATGTTTTGAGAGGCAATTATAACCAAGGCTGTGTATCATTAAAAAGTGCAAACAACCCAACTACTATTCAGACTGACTAGACTTGATCGTTTTGACAACGTGTTTCTGTTTTGCAGTCTTGGAAGTGTGGCGTGACTTTTTCCCGCCACTTGCGATTTGGCGGGGCAATATTTTATCAGCGCAGCCACAATTGGAAATGAGCAGTGTTATGACAGGTTGTGAATACATTTCCTCATGTTTGATTCCGTCCAATGTTTATCATCCTGGCGTGTAACGGGTAGCTTCAGATATCACGCTATTGCACATGCAGCGTTCGCGAACTTGTCATTTTCTTGTCTGTCGTCAGGTTCACTGGGGTGTCTTTTTTCCAATAGCGCTGGCGTTTTCATAAACCCATCATAGCTCGGGCACGTCATCGTCTTACAACGAGCCGAGCGGAGGTCCACTTAAGGAGCCAGAACGCCGCGCACTACGCGGCACGGCACGGCAGCCTTCAGGCGACATTTTTTTTGTTCAGAAACGCCGCACTTAATCAGGGCATTAACGGCGAAGTACCTCGATGAAAGGCTACGCGTACCCTTGGGCCTGCTAGGCGACCGGCTATTATACAGGGTCACCCAGGGCTCAAGAGATTACAAAAGCGGTGTTTATTTTTTCTAAATACGTTGATCCTAGTTGCATAGTTTATTTAATTTTGCAGTTAGTATCGTTCAAAACTCCATATTAAGATATGCTGAATTGAACCACTTTTTCAATGTCGAGTTATTGAAAGTCAAATCTAGTGTTGTAACGAGAAAGAAATGAGATAATTTCCAAGAAATTATAGCAGTACTCAAGAATGGGGGGATGGCGACAGTTAACTTTCAATAAATTAAAGTTTTGGTTGCTTATTTTAGGTTTAAAGTACTTAAATAAAATTGAAGTAAATGTAGTGAATGTAGTGAAGAATGCAGTTAAAGTTTACCTCTTGAGATAAACAAAACTCCGGTTCATATTTGACCTTTTAACATTCGAAACTCTATATTCCTGAACAATATCGAATGAGCTTCGTCTCATCCAGTAGGCCTATTTCAAGGCTTTTCTGTAGAGAACAAGGATTTTGAAGCAGTTTCGTTTTCTTTTTGCGGCTTATGACACTGGAATGTGTTCCTCACCTTCTCTGTGGGGCGATGTGGTAGTGGTTACTCCATTATGCATGGCCGACACGTCATGGGCTAGAAGTGGGTGCCTGCTTCCCGAAGCCGTAGAGAACAGCGGTCCTTGAGAACTGCTCACAACACACGTCGGGGCGCGAGCTCCCGGGAGGTTGGAAGCCGCTGCGGAGAGTGGATGCATGCCAGGGAGCCCCGTTGACATCCTCGGTATGGGCAGACCGCCGTGGAATTGTCCGTCCACCCACTGCCGTAGCGAGCTCATGGGCGAATCGTACGGGTAGTGGAAGTTCTGCGCCAGGCTGGCTGGCGTGGCCATCACGCCGTTGTGGACGGGTGAGCGCACGGGCGAGCGAGACCGCCGCTCCCGCTCAGGGCTGCTGGACGTGGCCGTGTGGGCCAGGGACCAGATTTTGGGCTTGTCCGCCGGTCGGGGGGGCGGCTTCTCGCAGGGCGGCGATCTGGAGGTAGGCCTGCAGGTATTTCTGATCGTGGAGGGCGCCAGAGGGGCGGGGCTGGGACTCCTCCTGTGGCATAGGGGGCTACAGAGTTCCCTTGGTCGATGGGTGTCTTCCTCGTCATCGACCGTGACGCTCACTGAGTCCCTGCCCGTGTTTGTGCCCATGAATCCAGCTGGCACCCTCGGCTCAATACGCGGTAAGCCAACATGGCTGCTACTGCTTGAGTCACTCACAATAATTTCCCTATCGTCATCAATCTCATCCTCCTTCTCATTGTTATTTTCCTCCCTCGTCCCTTCGCGATCAGACACTAAATTCAACGGAACAAAATAAAATCGATTAAGAAGTATGAACGAAACCAGAATCTTTAAGGGGACATGATCATAAACAGTCATCAAGCTGCACTCAGGATCAATCCATTTTAAAAAAAATATGACGCCCGTTATTTCAAAATTAAATACTTTCCTATCAAAGCGAAGGGCCGTTCAAATGATTTTCAAAGACATTCATAGCATGGGAAGTGGGTGGGAGTCTTCACAATTAATTTCAGAGACGATAAAATGCTTGTCGTTCGGGCTGTGCCAGTGTGCGCCAGCTCTCTGTATTTAGTTTCACTCGCCCCTTTCCCGCCAAATCCGTCATTGATATTTCCTCGGCCAGAACCGTTTGTTTGCTGTGCTTTCAAGTGTCTGGAGGCCCCGGCCCGGCCGACGTGATTTCATGATGGCATTGTCACCGTCATCATCATTATTATTATCATCATCATTATCATCATCACCGCTGTGGTCGGGGTATATGGAGGGGGGGGGTTGACTCGCTTCCTGAGCGGAGCGGCCGAAGCACGTACGCCGCGAGCCACGGCGAGAGCCCAGCCGAGCGGAAGCGGCTCTTCCGCCCGTCGCCCGGATCAGCTCTCTCAAGTGCGGCTTATTTGACACGCTCTCATGCTAACGAAAAATTAATTTTCGCAAATTCTGCCAATTGAGACTTTCTTTTCACGGCGCTCCTCGTGAAATTGCTCATCAATTTAGGCTCCCGGTGAGCGGTGAGTGTGCAGTGTAGGCCGTAAGTACGTGTGCCATCTGATAATATAAAAACACAATAACGCGTAAAGGATCTCAGGAACGATGCAAACATCACGGTGCAATTCCGAGTTCAAAAGCATGATCCGGGTCCGCTGACAGTAAAGAGTTTCCAAAAGAAAACGGGCGCATCATTGAAGTCTCGTGTCGTTGACTGTTCAAACAAGGATGACTCCAATTGCAGAAGGAGAAAAGGCAGCGGGAAAAACTGTCAATATAATGGATAAGGTTTAATGTGTTCAGCGTGGAGAGCGAGGGTAGATGGGGGAACGTTTTTATTAGCTGTCTCACTGGCTGAGCGCAACAGGCCCTTACAGCGATGCCTGTCGAGAACGATCGAGCGAAAACATCATCGCAAACATGAGAGGATATCCCCCCCCACACACACACACACCGATTCTCTTTTCATGTCGACGCCACGATGGTGATCCGCTTTCTGGTACAATATCGAGCAAGACAAAGCAAATGTACACGAGAGGCCGGCCCGAAATTATCCAAGTTGAGCGTGTCAGGGAGAGAAGTCTCCACCGACTACGTTGAGCTACTTCCCCCCCGCTTGCCCCAAACGACTCCACCACATTGTTTTGTGGTAGATTTCACACTCCTTTTTTTCTGTTCCTTTTTTTCTTTATTGACTGGCTGCATTAAATTTGTGTGACTAAATAGCTTTCTCATTCGACAAGCTTACAGAGTTGTAGCTTTAACTTAGTGATGTTCCGTTCCCATGGAAATCCATTCAGGACAAAAGGGAGTGTTATTACATTATCATTTCGCATGTTTAGTGTTAAACACTGCTCTTTCCTTATGCAAATATTTATTGAGTACCCTCAATCGGTTTTTCCAGCACTTTAAGGAGTGATTAGTATTAGACAAAAACCTGGAGGTTTGGTAATAGCAGGTCGCCCAGGTGAATCCATAATTAATCAACAAAATGGTAAATATAGGGAGTGTTCGCTTATTTTGAATAACACATTTATAAAGGTACTAACATTAAATAAACTTCTAAATTAAAGAAATTTTTCTCAACAACCACTCCCACTGAGCGGATATTATATCTATTTTCAGTGCTCTTTATAGTTTTATTAGTTAGTTTGTTTGTTTGTTTGTTTGTTTGTTTGTTTACTTTCTTCAAACATTCAATGGCCTCATTCTTTTGTGACGACATGAAATCAGGGCACCGTTATTCATGACACTTTATACTGACTGTAATTTATGTTTCAGCTGACTATAGATGGGCCCTAAATATAGGTAATATTTGGCTTGGCCACTGCGAGAGGCACGGGGTATCAACTTACATTGTCCATTGTGATTGCTCTCTAGGTCCGTTCCCAATCCGTCCATTTCGTCGTCCCGGTCGTGGTCGTCACCGTCCTCGGACTCGTAGTCTTCTTTCCGGCCGTCACCGCACCGGTTCCGGGGCGACCAGGTCATCTTGTTCTCCTTCTTGAGGCGGCGGCGGGCGTTGGCAAACCAGGTGGAGACCTGGGTCAGGGTCATCTTGGTGATGATAGCCAGCATGATCTTTTCCCCTTTGGTCGGGTAGGGGTTCTTGCGGTGCTCGTACAACCACGCCTTCAGCGTACTAGTGGTTTCGCGGGTGGCGTTCTTGCGTCTTGCGCCGTTCAGGTCCATCGCCCCGTAACTGGTGAGTGCCGTACACAAGAAGCAATAAAAATTGTCAATAATTTCACTATTTCTTATACATTTCCTTCCATTCACCATGTAAATGTCCATTTCATTAACGTAGCGTTTTCAAATGATCACCATGCGCCTTTTTGAGGCCTTTACAAATTGGGTTTCCCTTCTATTTTGTCTTGTCGTTCCCTAAATGTGTTTTTATTTTTATTTATTTATTTTTTTTGTAAATTAAAGAACACAGACTGTCAATAAAAACAGAGATTCAGTTATCCCAAAAAGGCAACACAATAATTCCGTGTAGTCACTGCGTACGTAAACAAATTTGACCACACGAAACCGCAAGTGGAGTTGCGCGTGAACGTTGAGGATAGGTTGACGCTTTCAGGATTGGAATAACACTGCGCCTGTGTGTGTGTATTTTCGTGGCATGTTAATCCACTGCAGTACCAACACAATTAGAATTTGAACTCCAGATGATGAAACGCATCGAATTCCAACAAAAAAGCCTGAATCCCCCGGAAAAGGGGATACTAGTCCAAGGTCGTATCGCCTAAATTGGACGAGTTTGTTACATTAGATATACAAAATGAAAAATTCCTCACACAATGGGAAATTATTGTAAGCGCGGCGATTGTAAAATTACTGCGACAATGCGACACAACCCGAGTACAAAAGCCAGTCACAGAGACATGACTTTGAAAGAACCTGTGCTCACCTACCAAAATATTTGGACTTATTACACACCTGTTTAAGAAGGAAAAGAGGATGAATTGGTCCTACTTTGCCCCGATCAAAGGAAAACGCCGACGCGAGCGGTGAAATGATAAGGTAACACGTGGGAAAAATATCTCAAAAACAGACGAAACTACAGTGTCGAGTAATAAGGAGTACAGGATAAAATTTGAAGTTCCTATTGTGATTCATTTGCAATAATTCTGGCACTTCCAAAACACATGATCAGCTACGACCAGAGTGGCCGTAGAGAAAAATGACTGGAGGGAAGTCAAACTAACATTTCAATTTTTAACACGACTCGAGGCGCATTCCGTGCCCGCCTCCCCCTAACAACCCGCGTTGATTTTTCCAGCAAAGCATACAGGCACTGCGATGTAGTCATACAACTCATGACAGCACAAAAAAGGTCGTGTCGTGTTTCACGGCTTTAATTGGCAAGTGCTCTCTTGCCATGCAATGCTTGTCGGTAGGGGAAACAAACCGCGTACACGCACTAGTCGTCAGTCGCACGCCGAGCACCAGTTAATGTCAGTTTCGATGTTGATCAAATCCACTGGAAAAAATATTCGATATTATCGGAAGTTGGGGCCGTTTATTTAAGCGCATTTCCCACTCTATGGTTTCTCTTTGCTCGATTTCTGTGGACCTGCGTGTTGGCAAGGCGAGGGCGATCGGCGATCGCTCATAAAGCGCCTGCCGCGAGGACTCGTTCGCGTAATAGCTTCGGGCTAAAGCGCAAATTGCGCAGCGTAGACAGGTGGGACTCGGATTGCTGATGAAGAAGAACTTTGTTATGGCTCGGAATTCACAGATCTAGAATCACAAGTCACCAGGGTATTGTAATAATTGCATGATTACAAAGAAAGACCAGTTGCTCCAAACGACAAACACGCGAACAACACTTTCCCCGTTAATTTCAAATTACTAAATTTGAAAAATATGAGCTAACCCTATTTGAATTAAATTTACGGTAAATTACCAGTACATTTTTTCAACAGTGTTAGAAAAAAAAACTAACATGACAATGGTGACCCTGTATCATTGTCAGTCAGTTGGAAAAAAATTGTGGAATTATTACGTATTTCCAGTTGTAGAAGATAATACCCAAATCTATCAATCTGGGTTATAATAGGGAGTTGGTTTCAGGAGAACAGTAGGAAATGAAACTTACCGATCGCCGTAGTACTGGTAGGTTGTTGGGTCGTAAGGATAGCAGGCGGTAGGCTGGGCCAACGCGCTCCATCCTTCCGGGTTGGTCTTTAAGTCGTACGCTGAATTCTGCCCACAAATAACGGAACATGAAATCATTCAGAATTAATTTGTCAAGTAATAGGAAGGGAAGGGAATTGGGGAAGTTATAAAAAAATATGATGCGGAGTTACATTTTGAAACGGTAGTCTAGCAAAGTTTTTACTTCATTTCTGAGCTTTCATCCCTCACCCAATCTATAAGAGAATGGAGTGTCGTAAACTTGAATTGTCATTTTTAAAAAATCACAAATTTTATGAAGCTTTCGGGAAATTCTGAAATGAAACTTTTAAATAAAAAATAGATAGGAATTTGTCATATCAAACTTTTAAATAAAAAGAATTGGTAAGAAAACGTCTTTTCACTTATTTATAGAGACTTTCACCAATAAAAAAATGCTGGGCCACTGTCGATGCCGGGAGGCGGGCATATCCGAAGGGCTCATATGCAGAGTACAAATAAATCAAGAATGGCTCAAGAAATGCAAGCTTTTCCCGTGTATGTTTATACAAGCCGTGCATACACACATCGAAAATAATGTGTGACATAGAGTGATTTTGAGTGGCTGTCTGAATTTGAGTGCACTCGAATACGCTGTTTCAATCCATCAACGCATCAAACAGTGTGAATGACAAATGGAGATATGTTTTGGGTTAACTGAGAAAGTGGAGGGGGAATTTGTTCAAAGAACAACAATCTTGGTAGAATGCACTTTTTTTCCCTTGTGCAAGATATGAAGTTCGTTTCTATATAAATTTCACAGTTTTTAAAAGACAGCCATGCCGATGTAAAATACATTACTGGAAATGTTATCCATTGAAATCACCCTCTGATTGGAATTTAAATAGGGCCCTCTGCAGTGTTTACAGGAGATGGACAAACATTATGTACTACGGTGTTATGCTGATGACTCTCTTAAACGGGCTTAGACCAGAATTTGCTCTCTCCGTGACTAATAGGCCTAGGCCCCCTACTGTCACTTCAGACAATTTTTTTTTTAAGTTAACTTACTCCACACAAAAGGTGAAGGTGATTAAGTTCAAATACTGCACTTACGAGAGGGGAATAGAACGCCGATGGGTCAGCAGCGAAGTGCACGAAGCTTGGGTCCGTAGCGTACGGGGACGTGTACAGCGCCGGCAGGCCGGCGACCCGGGAGTGTAGCAACGCGGTGGCGCGGTTATCCAGCGGGGAACAGCACACCGCTTGACCGGTATGCGGATCGGTGACGACCGGTCGACCGCTCTCACAGCACGACGAGGCCGGAGTGGCAGCCGACATCAGTAACTGTGAAAATCGAATCACAATGTTTCATTAATCGGTTTGAGGGTAGTATTTCTACCAAGTTTATGACTCAAAAGTTTCAAGATTCTTGAAACATTTTTTTTACACTTGTCCAAGATATCTTGGATTACTGTGAAGATACTTCAAAAATTCAGGAATGAATGCACACAACTCCAACTCTTGTTATGAAAAAAGGGTGTCATTACAGAAGTGTGATAAACGCCACCAGAATAGAACGTCTGCCGTGTTGCGTGAGACACAAGATTGAATAACCATTACGCAATTGTTTAATTACCTTAAACGCTGAGCACAAGAACGCGGTCCATTAAACCTAATTATTTTGTTTCAGTCATTACCTGCGACGAAGCGGGATACGGGTAGCCGAACTGCGGAAAGGTAGACATGCTTGCTTTCTCCAGCTTGAAAAGAGTCTCTGCCTCAGCACCGGGGCGAGTTAGAAGATCAGCGTTTCCCTGCGTAATATAATCCTGATCGTGTATAATAATCCCATGCGTAAAACAGAGGTGGTGGACCTCCAGAAAAAAAATCAGTTCTTGGAGAAGTTGACAGATGACGGCCAAAGTTACAAAACTTGTGAAGAGGAGGTGTCGCGAGCGACCACTGGCTAAGGTTCCCCACCGTGCGGCTAGCTGACCGAAGTAAGTTCCCAAGATTGTTTCATCTCAGCTGCCGGGCTGGCCTTAGCGACGTGTGACGAGAGTTTTGTAGTCTGAAGGAAGTTGCTTCCTAGCGGCGCGTGTCGTACAAGTAAACTCTTTTAAGGCCGTGTCACAGTTATGACGGGGGTTGCGGACACTACTAGGGCACCCTGATATCGGCTACCGTACCGCTTTATGGGCCTGGGGTCGTGTACATGAGCATGTACATACAGGAGTACACTGTGTCAGTATCTAGTCACTTAGAGAGCAGCAGGACCAGAACAAGCATGCGTGCACACGCCGTGACACCCGCCGACGCGATTGGGCCAATCAGGCGCGCCGGCCTGCCCGGTTTAACGCGGCCGCTTGATTGGCACGGCCGTCATTAAGTGCACTACCAACGGGGGCTCCCCACAATAGAGTGCCGCCCAACTGGGCGTGCGTATCCCCGTCGACAGGCCGGGGCCCTCCCACGAGCTTGGACAGTTTGATTAGCCCTGCCGACATCGTTAACATATTCATCGTTTTCTTAGGAATTACTGGGCACGTGTAACATGTGGAAGGCATGTTAGTGGCATGTTAGTACAAGAGGGAGAGATTTGCCCGCTCTGTTAACTCGTCCATATTATCAGGCCTTGCATTTGCCTCTGCACAGGCAGGCCAAAAAGGCAGCGCTGTTTGTGGCATGCACTGTACAACGTGGACGCAGCCAGCGACGTGTCGCATGTCAGCCGTTATTGTAGAAGCCCGCCACCAAGCGTCTGTGTTGGGAAAAACGAACCACATTTTTGATGAATTGGGCGCCCTGCACTAACTATGGATCCTCACTCTATGCACAAACGGAATACATGTATTCACTGCGCATTTTATTCGACCGTATGTGTGTACATGTACATGTAGTACTCAGCGTGGCCCTTCTCTCCTGTCCTGCAGCCATGTCAAACCTAGGGGGCAAATCGTTCCATTTGACCGGTTCATTCAAAGCAGCACAAACACCTTTATTTCTCCTTCGTGTTTCAAAGATTATTTTAGATGGGGAAAAATGGCTCTTTTGTTTGAGCAGTGTCAATGATACACAACTGTGTCTTTAGGGTTGAACACAGGGCGGTCAAAAAGCGTTTACCTACGGTCAGAAACCTCTGACGAACAAAGGCAGAGAAAGAATTGCCACCAGATTCCGGCAAAGGTACTTGACACATGGGTTAAAGGTTCTCTTCAATTATACTGTGGTGCCTTGAAGTTAAATCTGACGGGTTAGGAAAAGAAAACTTTGTAAACCGAAACAGATAACCTCTTCAAAGGTTTGGAGATTCAACAAACGTGATATGCGTATCTCTTTTTAAGTCAACATTTACATGCCATTAACAAAAATTGACAGTTTCCTCCAAAAATATGATAAATCTTTGGTAGAAGCACCGCAGCACTTGCAGCACAGGGAATCTGGTTCCGATATATTAAGTTACAGACAGATCCTTCACCACTATTTGTCTCGAAAGAGAACTTGAATTGCGAAGTAAATGGGCAAGAGATCTATTTTCCTTGATCATTCAACAGTGACTCACTCAGAATATTTTGAATACAGATACGCAATAGAATTTGAGAAATTATGCCATAATATGGCCATGAGCATTGCGGCTTGCATTTAATGATGCCAATGGCCGATGATGCTCTACAGAAATCTAATTTCCAGCTGCACTTTCAAATATAATTTTCAAAAGAAATCCCCTCCCTCATCCTGACCGAAAACAAGTCAACCGAAAGTGCAAAGTGACAATCAATCATCCCTAAATGGCTCATTTAGCGAGCTCATTTTTCTAGAAAATGTGCTGTGACTTATGCATAGTTCACCACAAAGTGTTCGTTCATACACTCCCCTGTGTTGGAATTTCATGCCCACATGTTCGTGTTCTTTTCTTATTTTTAAGGTCATAATGGTTGAATGTGGACGGCTAGTTGCCGGCTCAAAACCCATTAGCGGTCATCGAGCCTATGTGCCGGACTGCACGGTAGAGCGCGACCTGTGTCTTCTTCTTATCACGACCGGCCAGTCAGCTGGCTTTCCCCAGCGCCCTGGCGCAAGGCAGCGCGGCGCCTGCATCACTCAGTCCCAGTTTAGTCAGCTCCGTGAAAAAAAAAGAAAAACCGTCACCAGACAGAGGTCTGAAGTGTTAGTCGCAAATGCTGAGAGGGTGGACCCACGGGACCGTGGGAGATCCGGCGCGAACACGCCACACACAACATGTGAAGACAACTTTTTGGGTCCATCCTATCAGTTATGATTAATGAACATCATGCGATTACTTCTGGGAGGCAAACATAGGTGCCAGATATCCACAAGTGGCTTCGATTTCCTTTTTCATAATTTAGAAGTTGTGAGGCCATTGCAGACCTCTCAACACTGATCTTTTGGGAGGAGTGCAGTGAACCTGTCGAACTCGTGAATATTGGTTGACAATATAAATGAAGAATGATTTTGGCATATTTCTTGTTCTTAAAATGAAAAAGCTCATGGGTGCTCCGGATCAGAATGGAAAAAGGCATGATTAACTTTTTGAGGACATGCTTGATGGAGCGGACACGTTCATTCTAGACTGCTCTAATCTGTACTTAGCAATAGCATTTGAAAACTGTCCGTTTCATTAGATAATCAATTGGTCTGTTTTCTTGGCCAGAAATGTGGCATGTTAGGGAAGATTAACTTCCCGATGGAGTATTTATTGGTGAAATATAATGCTGTATGCTGTTTTCTCAAAGTTAAGTGTATGCGTGTGATAACCCCGCTCAGGATCTTGAAATACCGGTACTGAGTCAGTGAGTCACAGTCGTGCATTAACAACAGGAAAAATGTTTACAGGTGGGGTATTTTATTGCTGAAAAAATGAGGTTTGTTAAAAGGGGAGACTTTCGCTTCTAGCATCTCATCAAAACTTGGATTGTAACCGGCTGTTAGCCGGGGCCTTCGCCCGATCGCCGCTCAGCACTCTGGATTTCGAGGGAAAAATAGTACTCTCGAGAAAATGAACTTTAATCTGCACTCATTGTCGACCGCTTGACAGTTCCATAGCAGTTGGAATCTCGTTAATTCTGCGAGTGAAGTGGGCGCGGGCGCGCCGCGAAGCGGGTTAATGGTTGACGCCTGTATGCATGGCCGCGGGAAGTGCCGCGATGCCAGCTCGCGGTATGAGCATGAGCCGCGGTCGTCGATTAATCTCGGGCCCATCGCCCTCTTCATCATCGCCCTCCTCATGATCATCATGCGGCTATTTGGACTAATTTCCTCCGTCAAGTCCGGAGCTGTCTCGTCTGGCTTCTTGTTTTTGTTTTGTTTTAGTGGTACTGGAAATTGATGCTCTTCGATTAAACAGGGTTTGTCGAACCTCAACACCTCGCCTATTTTCATCTATTACTCCAGTTGACTCGTACCCTACCAGGACTGATCCGTCACTATCATCCTGTCACCACTCCCTTGCACAACCGAGCTACTCCCTCTACCCTCGTGTATGAAAACCGTCACCTCAAATACCACGACCTCCAATGTCTCCGTCCTTCCAGCGTCATCCTCTAACATCACCCGAGTCAGGTTCTCAACCATCGCCTGTTCAACCCTTCAGTTTCAACGTCTTGGCGTCATGCGGGAACGCCATTAAATCTATTTATTGTTGCTTGTTTGTTTTTAAATGAATCCCTGGTTTTCACTCCTTTTTTCCGTCTGCACCTTTATAAAGACTCTTCCTCCATCCACGTTCAGTGATCCGCTAGTTTCTTCCACCATTGCATAGAGCCACATTTGTTTAGCAAATTCGTGATTCGAAGTAGATCGAGCGGCAAAATGCGAGGGACACAGTGAGTGAATGGTATCTTCCTTTCTCTGAAACAGAGTCATAAATTGACATTCATAATACGATGTCCTATGTAGATGTATACATGTACTACAATAGACCTTGTTCTCTGACTTCTTTCGCTGCCGAAACTGCAGAATCCACAAGCATTTAAGTTGCAAAGGAGAGCAGTAAAGGAAAGGAACACGGAGTGTCTTGAATTGTCGACACTTTTCCACCTTTCTTTCAAACCCCAATCGTGACCAAACCGAAATGAACAAGATAAAAAGACTGGAAAAACGGAATGGCTTGACTCCTTTGGACCTTCAGGAAACAAATCTTCCTTTGAGGACAAGTAGATACGACCCTCCACCTCCACCTGAAGGGTTCAAATGTTGATTTCCTTAGGCTCTTCAAATTCAAACCTATATATCCATCTCCCCCCCCCTCTGAAATTCCCTTCTGTCTTTCCATGATATGGCGATTCCGCGTGCTGATATCAAGTACATTACTCAGTGTGTGTGTGTGTGTGTGCACTTGAACTTCAGGCAGACCATCCAATTCTCTATCAACCAGCGCAGAATTTATGGACCTCCTGCTCTGCCCCCTCCCCCCGTCTAACTGATGTGCAGTGGGGATTTATACAACACTCGAGATTTAATAAAAACCCACTCGTCAGAAATGATACACCGTCTTGATAGAGGGGGAGATTTTCCATCGCGGCCCCAGGCCCCATCCACATTCAGTCGCAGTCTCGAGTCCGTTATTGGCCAAAACTCAATTGGCAGTTTAATTGGCCATCAGCCGGCCGACGAGTGCCCGGCCCAGGTCCTGCTACTTGTCTGCTCAGCCATAGTTCCGTTGCCGGGGCGGTTTGTGGATGGTGAAAATGCCGTTGTCGGTGCCGTTGTACGGTGGTGCACTGTTGGAATGACGGCACTCGCCATATTTTTGTTACTGATTTCTGGTTTTTGTGTGGTGGATTAGTTGGACTATTGGTCCGAACAAAAAGATTTCTCACTCAGATATGGCCATTAATAATAGTCCAATTTCGTTTGGCTCAGTAAGTTTTGTCTAAAAGTTATGATGAGCGTGGTTGCGCAGAGCGAACCACAAACGTGAATGCTCTGCCCAAATCGGCAAGTGGCCCTTTCACGCGATAACTTCTTGTGGTCAAGCTCCCATATGAGATTTCGTCACGACTTGGCTATGATACTGATATCAGTGGAATTGATTTTCGTTCCATCCAACTTGCTAGAGTAAAAAAAAGTCGACGGTTGTGTAAAGAATGACTACTTGGAAGTGTCACGGGCTGATATATGTAGGCCTACATGCACCAATCTGAACGGAACAGCCCAATTGCTTTTGCGGTTTCTTCATCTTTTATTATCCATTAATGTGTACATGATCTGTTGCACGTCTTCCACCTCCATGTGTTCGTCTGTGTTCGTTTGTTTGTCTGTCGTGTAGGTGCTTTGTTTGACAGGTTT